CTGAAATAAATGCTACGATTAATAAAGATCAAAAATCTGCTTACTTCTCGTTTGCATCTCATTTACGTCCATCATGGATTACTTAAGTCTTAACTTAATCAGACCCTATCACCGTCGCTGCTGGCCACAACGACAAACTTATTTCATCATCCAGATCTTACTTTTACACCCACCACGGGTTAAGCGTGCTATATAAATTGATAATCACTATATGAGCGGCCATGTCGTTGTAATACATGGTCGTAAATCAAAGTGATTATCCCAAAACCCAGCAAACCTCGCTGGTATCTTCGAAAAATGTTCATTATAGGAGCGGTCGTGTCGTTGTAATACACGCTCGTAAACCGAAATGTTCATTCAAAAACCCAACAAACAAATCGTTGGTCTCTACGCGATACGTATTCATTATAGGAGCGGCTGTGTCGATATTATACATGGTCGTAAATCGAAATGATCATAAGAAAACCCAACAAATAGATCGTTGGTCTTTACACAATAACATGTTCATTCTTGGAGCGGGCGCGTCGATAGAGGCTCGCCCGTAAACCAAGAATTTCATCAGAAAACCCAACAACTTAATCGTTGGTTATTACGCAATGTTTTCATTCGTGTAGCAAGCGGGTCGATGCAGGCTTGCTCGTAAACCAAGAAGTTAATCAGCAAACCCAGCTAACACATCGTTGGTCGCAATAATATAACATGTTCGTCTTTGATGTAAAATAATCAGCGATGAACTGCTCATAAACCAAAACGAACATTGTTCAAAATCAATGGACAAATCACCAGTCCCGAAACGATATAATAATAGCACACTTGGAGCAGGCTGATCAATACGCTAACGCTCATTTCAATAACTTAAGAGATCACGCATCTTAACTTACAACAAAGGAATGTTCGATACAAAAATCTCTATAAACCTAGCAAACAAATCGTTGGTCACAACACCTTTTGGACGAAACACCGGATGGACATCGTCTTATGCATTATCCAAGTCAGAAATAATTTCAAAAGCATCCACGTCGTATTGACAATGTAACCAAGAATTCAAAGAGTCATAAACCATTCTTTTCGTTTCACCATCTCTAAAGCTTCACCTAGTCAAATACAACTTTTCACTACAATCACTTCGCTCCAGTTTTACCACGATCAAATCCACGTCGCTCAAGCTCGCTAGGCAAAAAGATGAATTTCTCATCTTTGAACTCGTCGTCAACACGAGGTCACCTTGTCGACGTCCACACGATTCCACCTCAGTGTCAAGTCAAATATAAGTCCGCTTTCGCTTCGAGTAAGCACGATCACCTCATCGTCAAAATGAGTCCACCTCGGTCTCGTCAATTAAGCTCTGCCTCCTTGCCGCATTTTCACCTCATCGCATCATCTGTTCGTCGTGCCATCACGCCACCATCGCTAGCTTTACCTCGCCGTTGCATCGATCAAACTTCGCTTCGCCGTCGCATCAATCAAGATTCGTCTGGCCGTCGCGTCACCTTCACAAACTTCGTTTCGCCATTGCATTGATCAAGCTTTGTTTCATCGTCGCATCGACCAAACTTTATCTCGCCGTCGCGTCGATTAAACTTTGCCTCGTCGTCGCATCGATCAAACTTCACCTCGTCGTCGCATCGTTCAAGCTTTACCTCGCCCTCGCATCGATCAAGCTTTGCCTCACCCTCGCATCTATCAAGCTTCGTCTCGACCAATCATCGCTAACCTCATCAACCGTGACTAGAGCATTGGAGGAAGCTGGCCTCATCGGACTGCCAGTGTCAGACTCTTGAGAAAGAACCATTCTACTTCCAAGAAGCGAAGGATCATCGACCATTTTTTGGAATCGTCTATGTCTAAAATAGTCTTCGTGCTGTCTTTGTCGCGCGGACGGTCAAGCTAAGAGTCCATAGAGTCGGAAACCATTCTTGTCAATTCGCCTCTCTTTTGCACCAAAGAGCAACAATCTGAATCAGTGTCGCTCCACGAAGCCAGCCTTGTTACCAAGTCGTCGAATCAAAAAAAAAAAATCTCGATCGAGTTGACTCGGCAACCGAGTTGACTCGTCGACCGAGTCAACTCGGTAAAGACTCAAATCGCCGTTTTCCTCTCTGGTCTCGCCTCGCCGCTCCCCCTTTCGAAGAACCCGACGACAACACGCGAACATCGA